TTTATCTCTCTCCAAAAATTTTCTTATTCTCAGCAAAATTTGTTGACAGAGCCTCACCCACTCTATCATTTGCTCTTCTTTTGCACTCCATCACCATTCTCTTGACCCTCTCTTTTACTCTCCGTATACTCCACCCTTCTTATATCACATCTGCTCTGTAAGAATCTCTCATATGCGACCTTTTTCTCTTTTATCACACCCTTTACATCATCATTCAACCAATCACTCCTCTTTCCTCCTGCACCCACCCTCCTGTAACCACAAACTTCTGCTTCGCATTCTGACACTGCCTTTTAAAACTATCCTACCCCTCTTTAGTCCCCATACCATCTATACTCTCATTATCTCACCTTTCTCCCAGTAGTTGCTTACATCTCAACTTAACTTCCTCCTCCTCTAGTTTATAAACTTTCACCTTTCTCTTTACTTGCTGTTGCCAAGTAACTACTGTAACTACACTAAATAATGATCCAACCCATTCATGAATTTCCCAGTTGATGAGATCTTTCTAGTGTCATATGGTAATTCACATAAGTTTGTAATGAGAAAGGTGGGGTAGTGTTATCTGTGATTATCCCTGGTTTGAGAGGAGATATTATATTGGTCCAGATATGATCAAATAAGGAAGCATTTATCTTGGAAATTCTTGTAGGCTTAGTTGTAGATGGAAATAGTAAGCAGTTGCTCATGTTGTTTGTTAAGTCAGGTACTTGAGCATCTTCTGCATGGATGTGGTTGATGTTGAAGTCACCAGCAAGTATTAGGTGATGTTAACATGTCATTCCTGTTGGGCCTCATCTTGCCTGAGAGATGTAGCATACATAGCAGCAGGATAAATCTGTTGAAGATGATGAGATCACTGAAGGCCAGTGTATCAATTAGGTGGTCAGTTGATTAAATATTGTTTTGATACACATGTGGCATCAGCATTATTTTGGCCTCCCCCCCCCAAAAAAAAAAGGATACATCTCTGCCACATTTGTGACCTTCCACTGGTGTGGCCAAGATTGTGGTGAAACCAATGTATTTACCAGTGTATAATTGAAGTACCTGTTGGTTCCCTCACTATAATTTGCATCATTGGTCATCAAAATACAGTTCAAAGAATTCATGTTCACTGGCATCATTTCTCAGGGTACAGTTAAGCTAGATTCTACTATGTACCATCAGATTGATCGGGATTGGGCTCAAAATTTGCATCCTCCCAGTCCCAGATTCAATCTGGTGGTGGGTGCTGGATGTTAGTGGCTGGTTGTTTCAGTTGTACTAGTGGTGGCTGTGTTGGGGTAGTGGAGGTGGTTGTGGGTTGTTACAGTGTTGGCTGTGGATTGTGATTCCAGTCTTGGGCTTGCACTGGTGCCGTTCACCTCTGTGCCACCACTTGCTGCTGCATGCAGTGCTGGCATTTCCCATAGCCTACTATCCATTTCATTCAATGCACCAACTGTCTCACTATCACTGTCTGTTGCCGATGTTGGGTCCTGGGATATACTTCATCACCTGGGGATAGCAATAATCATATTACCTGACAGTGTGCTGTGCTGTATACATGTAGTATATTGATGCTTCACAGGTGAATAATTTGCATCATTATCATTACTGGACTGGTTATCAGTTGCTAGGAACTCCAGACATGGAGTTGGTTCATCTGGATGGTTATAGGTCATCAGGGTTTTCAGCAATATTTACAGCATCCTGAGCATTACTTTTGGTCATTAAACATTTTAAAACAAAGAACTCATCCCGGTTCCATAATCCTCATTGTTGGAGCTGACTGTCAGTACGGAATAAAACCCAGTCAGTTCTCCAGTGGATCACTGTACAGTATTTGAAAAATATAGGTCATGAAAAATCTGTCAAAAATATGAGTTTTGTTTATAGCTATAAGACAGTAATGTGATTATAAAATATTCCTAGTATTAGAATAGGAAAGTGTTAGGAATACTTTTAGCTATATTTCAGATACCTAAATTATGAAAAACAAAGTGTATTTAACTTTTTCCTTTAGCTATATATATTATTTTTATGAAAAGTAACTGACAGATATGGGCACCTTACTGGAAGGATACCTGAAGGATGCTTCCAGGAGTCAGCACCACCTGGAGGATCAAGGCCTGATCAACCAGACTATTAATGCTGGCCCCCCCACAGTTCCTTTCATGCATCATTCAGTTCTTTTCATTCATCAGTGTCTACTGCCTTTGTGAACATCTGATATCTGATGTCTTCGCCTGTAGAGGGAGCACCACTCTCAAGTTTACATCTTCTCTTTCACTGTATTGGCAGTGTGTTTCTGGTGCATATTTTGAGCATTAGTGAGCTCGGCCTCCTGACCAACTAGTTTAGATCAGCAGTGGTCTTATTGTCTTCCCAACATATCTTGCAAAGGTCATGATCTATGTGGTCCCAGTTGATGTTCTTGTTGAAATTAAATTTGTTGAATTAGCCCTCATGATTGAACACATTTCTCAGATCCAGGCCACTATGCATGCAGGTCTGAACTTTAATTATGGCGTAGTGCGAGATGCAGTCTTTGACACTTTTATGTCCTGCACCAGATGAGGTTTATGGCATTCCAATTCTGGTCGGCTAAGCAGTCAGCTGGCTGAGGTTTAGCAATTCTGTGGTGTGACTGTTCCTCCAAACTAGCTCCAGATACTCCATTTACAATTAAAGTCTTTCTTACATAGTTTCATTTGAGTTGCCTCATATTAAAATATCCAAGCAGCAGGATATTTGGGACTGGGTTTGATAGGTTTTCAAGACAATTCTCAATCTCCAGTAACTGGAGTTGTATCCCATAGTTTTTTTCACAAGAACAAAAACTAGGATCTGATTTTTCAATTATTACTGCCAAAATTTCAGCTACGTACATCATTTATGGTGCTTGGTAACTCAGTGTGTATGAGTGACTTGCTAACACAAAGGCCTACCTTCCCCTTGTTGCCTGTTTTTCTAGTCACATTCTAAATAGCTTGTATCCAAGAATCCATATTTCATTATCAAATTAATCTATGTCAGTCTTCCTGAAAGCTTCAAACATTTCATTTGACCCGATTAGAAGACCATGGATAACAGTATCTTATTGTTTTTTCTCACCTTGAGACCTTGTACATTTCAACCATAAAAGATGTGCTGGGTTTCAAACAGATAGACCAGTACATTTGAAATGTATATTTTTTTTTTTTTTTAACAAGTCGGCCGTCTCCCACCGAGGCAGGGTGGCCCAAAAAGAAAGAAAATCCCCAAAAAGAAAATACTTTCATCATCATTCAACACTTTCACCTCACTCACACATAATCACTGTTTTTGCAGAGGTGCTCAGAACACAACAGTTTAGAAGCATATACGTGAAAAGATACACAACATATCCCTCCAAACTGCTAATATCCCGAACTCCTCCTTTAGAGTGCAGGCATTGTACTTCCCATTTCCAGGACTGAAGTCCAGCTATATAAAAATAACCGGTTTCCCTGAATCCCTTCACTAAATATTACCCTGCTCACACTCCAACAGATTGTCAGGTCCCAAATACCATTCGTCTCCATTCACTCCTGTCGAACATGCTCATGCACGCCTGCTGTAAGTCCAAGCCCCTCACCCACAAAACCTCCCTTACCCCTTCCTTCCAACCTTTTCGAGGATGACCCCTACCCCGCCTTCCTTCCCCTACAGATTTATACGATCTCCATGTCATTTTACTTTGATCCATTCTCTCTAAATGACCAAACCGCCTCAACAACCCCTCTTCAGCCCTCTGACTAATACTTTTATTAACTCCACACCTTCTCCTAATTTCTACACTCCGAATTTTCTGCATAATATTTACACCACACATTGCCCTTAGACAGGACATCTCCACTGCCTCCAACTGCCTCCTCACTGCTGTATTCACAACCCAAGCTTCACACCCATATAAGAGTGTTGGTACTACTATACTTTCATACATTCCCTTCTTTGCTTCCATAGATAACGTTTTTTGTCTCTACATATACCTCAACGCACCACTCGCCTTTTTTCCCTCATCAATTCTATGATTAACCTCATCCTTCATAAATCCATCCGCCGACACGTCAACTCCCAAGTATCTGAAAACATTCACTTCTTCCATACTCCTCCTCCCCAATTTAATATCCAATTTTTCTTTATCTAAACCATTTGATACCCTCATCACCTTACTCTTTTCTATGTTCACTTTCAACTTTCTACCTTTACACACACTCCCAAACTCATCTACTAACCTTAGCTCTTCATTATTTTATGAACACATTGGCCGTTTCCTACCAAGGTAGGGCGGCTCGATAAAGAAAAACTTTCATCATCATTCACTCCATCACTCTTTTGCCAGAGGCACATTTACACTACAGCTATAAAACTGCAATGCAAACAGGTGAGTACAAATAGGAAGGGCATCTTTATTGCAGCAGACGGAGGATCAAGCCTCCACCACGTCTTGCGCTGAATGACCCACATGGGTTTAGCACTGAACATGAATTTATTTTAATTTTTATAAAGCTGCAACATTAACACCCCTCCTTCAGAGTGCAGGCATTATACTTCCCATCTCCAGGACTTGAGTCCAGTGTGCCGAATGATATATATTTAAGATATTCCATTTAGCCCCAACAACTACATGGACAGTCACCATCCTGGTTTTCCATACTTCTTTTTGTGGTGGTTAATGGGGAGTTTTGGAGGTTTTGGGTGAGTTTGGTGGGAGAGAGTAAGTGGAGGGTGAGTGTTGGTGGGCCTAATTGGGGGACTACAGTATTGTGACTGACACCACCAGTCACTGAGGCAAAAATTACTTCCTTTACACTTAATCCATGTACTGTATATTATAACTTTGTTTTGGTTTATCTGTGTTAAAATTGTGCAACCATAATTTTGTAACTTTTATGACTATTAAACTTTTGAGCTTTAGATTTGATGCAGATGTGCACAAAAAATATGCAGAGGTGCATCATTAAATTTCATACCAATGCTCTTTTATTTTTCAGAACTTAAGAAGTCATTATTAACAGGAGAATTAGTAAGAGACGGAGAATTCAAAAGAAAAAGAATGTCAGCTCGGGATGCAATATGTAAGTTAGCTTTTGTTTTAGTTTTTTTAATTACAACTTTTTTCCCAGCAAGGCCAGCTGACTCAAAGACAGGAAACATATGTAGTGATATAAATATTTTGCTATTTTAATTTTCTTTTTTTTTTCTTTAATTTTTTGTTAACTTTTGGTTGTGTAGCTTTGACAACTTGTATAGTTATATTGTTAGTTATATGGCACCAGTATCATAACTCTGTGTAGTGTGCATGCTTCACTGTGACACTCCTCTGTGCTATATTGATGCTGAATATAGGAAGATGAGATGTATGGGTAAGTCTCCTTATGCTAGCTATGCCTGTTCCTCTTAACAGTAAGTAGGTGCTTGGGTGTTAGTTAAATAAGTGAATTGCATCCTGGAGAAAACATAAAAATTAAAATATGCAAAGAATAATAATAAATGAGACAGAAGCATAACTCTGCTTCTCTAAATGGTGGACGGTAATCACTTAGCTAATAACAAAAATTTTAACTTGTCAGTTATTTCCCAACAGGTAGGTGACATAAGGGAGAGCACTCGCCATTATATTGTCTCTAGTTTTATTTCCATGATTGACAGACATTACAATTGAAATTATGATCCAAGCCATAACATCCTCATATATTCTTCAGTAGGCTGGCATTTTATTTCCTGCTTCCAGAACTGGCTAACTGGTTTTCCTGAGTCCCTTCATAGGTCCTGTATAACAGTACAAAATGTTTATCAGTAGATGCCAAAAAAAAAACAAAAAGATTGTATCAGAGTATATTGGTGCCAACAATTTTTTTTTTTTTGGATGCTGGACATAGTCCTTGAATGTTGCATCAGGATACCATGTTTGAGATCAGTGTGGTTTATGAATTGTGCTGAGAATAAGGAGTAGCAAGGAGAGTTATTAAATGGAGAGTTAGAGGTATTGGGAAGATGGAGGGAATATTTTGAGGAATTGTTAAATGTTGATGAAGATAGGGAAGCTGTGATTTCGTGTATAGGGCAAGGAGGAATAACATCTTGTAGGAGTGAGGAAGAGCCAGTTGTGCGTGTGGGGGAAGTTTGTGAGGCAGTAGGTAAAATGAAAGGGGGTAAGGCAGCCGGGATTGATGGGATAAAGATAGAAATGTTAAAAGCAGGTGGGGATATAGTTTTGGAGTGGTTGGTGCAATTATTTATAAATGTATGGATGAGGGTAAGGTACCTAGGGATTGAGAGAGCATGCATAGTTCCTTGTATAAAGGCAAAGGGGACAAAAGAGAGTGCAAAAATTATAGGGGGATAAGTCTGTTGAGTATACCTGGTAAAGTGTATGGTAGAGTTATTATTGAAAGAATTAAGAGTAAGACGGAGAATAGGATAGCAGATGAACAAGGAGGCTTTAGGAAAGGTAGGGGGTGTGTGGACCAGGTGTTTACAGTGAAACATGTAAGTGAACAGCATTTAGATAAGGCTAAAGAGGTCTTTGTGGCATTTATGGATTTGGAAAAGGCGTATGACAGGGCGAGATATAAGCGACTATTGGCAGAAAGGTGGGCTAGTGCAAAGATGAGTAGTGGGGAGGTTGAAGAGGGTTGGAATAGTTTTAAAAATGCAGTATTAGAATGTGGGGCAGAAGTTTGTGGTTATAGGAGGGTGGGGGCAGGAGGAAAGAGGAGTGATTGGTGGAATGATGAAGTAAAGGGTGTGATAAAAGAGAAAAAGGTAGCTTACGAGAGGTTTTTACACAGCAGAAGTGTTATAAGAAGAGCAGAGTATATGGAGAGTAAAAGAAAGGTGAAGAGAGTGGTGAGAGAGTGCAAAAGGAGAGCAGATGAAAGAGTGGGAGAGGCACTGTCAAGAAATTTTAATGAAAATAAGAAAAAATTTTGGAGTGAGTTAAACAAGTTAAGAAAGCCTAGGGAAAGTATGGATTTGTCAGTTAAAAACAGAGTAGGGGAGTTAGTAGATGGGGAGAGGGAGGTATTAGGTAGATGGCGAGAATGTTTTGAGGAACTTTTAAATGTTGAGGAAGAAAGGGAGGCGGTAATTTCATGCACTGGCCAGGGAGGTATACCATCTTTTAGGAGTGAAGAAGAGCAGAATGTAAGTGTGGTGGAGGTACGTGAGGCATTACGTAGAATGAAAGGGGGTAAAGCGGCTGGAACTGATGGGATCATGACAGAAATGTTAAAAGCACGGGGGGATATAGTGTTGGAGTGGTTGGTACTTTTGTTTAATAAATGTATGAAAGAGGGGAAGGTACCTAGGGATTGGCAGAGAGCATGTATAGTCCCTTTATATAAAGGGAAAGGGGACAAAAGAGATTGTAAAAATTATAGAGGAATAAGTTTACTGAGTATACCAGGAAAAGTATATGGTAGGGTTATAATTGAAAGAATTAGAGGCAAGACAGAATGTAGAATTCCGGATGAGCAAGGAGGCTTCAGAGTGGGTAGGGGATGTGTAGATCAAGTGTTTACATTGAAGCATATATGTGAACAGTATTTAGATAAAGGTAGGGAAGTTTTTATTGCATTTATGGATTTAGAAAAGGCATATGATAGAGTGGATAGAGGAGCAATGTGGCAGATGTTGCAAGTATATGGAATAGGTGGTAAGTTACTAAATGCCGTAAAGAGCTTTTATGAGGATAGTGAGGCTCAGGTTAGGGTGTGTAGAAGAGAGGGAGAATATTTCCCCGGTAAAAGTAGGTCTTAGACAGGGATGTGTAATGTCACCATGGTTGTTTAATATATTTATAGATGGGGTTGTAAAAGAAGTAAATGCTAGGGTGTTCGGGAGAGGGGTGGGATTAAATTATGGGGAATCAAATTCAAAATGGGAATTGACACAGTTACTTTTTGCTGATGATACTGTGCTTATGGGAGATTCTAAAGAAAAATTGCAAAGGTTAGTGGATGAGTTTGAGAAGTGTGTAAAGGTAGAAAAGATGAAAGTGAACATAGACAAGAGTAAGGTGATGAGGGTATCAAATGATTTAGATAAAGATAAATTGGATATCAAATTGGGGAGGAGGAGTATGGAAGAAGTGAATGTTTTCAGATACTTGGGAGTTGACGTGTCGGCTAATGGATTTATGAAGGATGAGGTTAATCATAGAATTGATGAGGGAAAAAAGGTGAGAGGTGCGTTGAGGTATATGTGGAGTCAAAAAACGTTATCTATGGAGGCAAAGAAGGGAATGTATGAAAGTATAGTAGTACCAACACTCTTATATGGATGTGAAGCTTGGGTGGTAGATGCAGCAGCAAGGAGACGGTTGGAGGCAGTGGAGATGTCCTGTCTAAGGGCAGTGTGTGGTGTAAATATTATGCAGAAAATTCGGAGTGTGGAAATTAGGAGAAGGTGTGGAGTTAACCCTTTCAGGGTCCAAGGCCCAAATCTGGAGTCACGCACCAGTGTCCAAGATATTTAAAAAAAAAAATTTGTTATTTTTTCTTATGAAATCGTAGAGAATCTTTTTGTGAAGGTAATAAAACAAAAAGTACGAAAATTGGTGGAAAATTGACGAAATTATGCTCTCGCGAATTTTGATGTGTCAGCGATATTTACGAATCGGCGATTTTGCCGACTTTGACTCCCATTTTAGGCCAATTACATTATTCCAATCAACCAAATTCTTAGCTATTTCACTAGTATTACTTCTTTTCTATCGATTGAGCACAAGAAATCGCTAAGTCAACTGTTTCAACTACAAAAAAAAAGTGATGGGAAATTGTTAATTTGGCCAATTTAACACAAAGTTCAAAATATTCCAAATTTCAAAATAGGGTCCAGAATGAACAATGTAGCATTCCGGGCACTAAACTAACATTTTCTCTGTTCATTAGTTTATGTTTGAGGCTTTACAAATAAATTCCTTTTTGTTTTTTATTCACATAATAAATTTTTTTATTCACACCAAAAAATAGAAGATTTACCTGTTATGCAATACTGTAATAATTGTATAAATATCATCACCATATTTGTGAATGTATATTAGACCACCAGCTGATGTGTATTAGACGTGTGAGGTCGTTTGTTTACTTTTGAATATGGGCAAAAATTTAACATTTCCGCTACTTTGAGCTCAGTTTCAAGCCATTTCCAATGCTAAAACCAATCAAAATCATCTCTATTTCTGTAATAGGGTCTTCCATTCTATCAAATGAGACCAAGAAATCGCAAATACAACAATAAAAAACATACGAAAAACCACTGCAAAGTTGCGTTTTAATCGAAAAATCATGATTTCATTTTTTTTTCTCTCATTATGCACAGTGTGCGGGCAGGATCTGTTTTATGTGGTGCACACATACCACATAGATGTATTCTCTCATATCTAGGCCCAAATGTACCACTCACAGTTTATCAGAGTGAGCTGAGCTCATGGCGTAGATCTAGGGTTTGGACCCTGAACGAAAGCCGTAGATCTACGGGACGGACCCTGAAAGGGTTAATAAAAGCATTAGTCAGAGGGGAGAAGAGGGGTTTTTTGAGGTGGTTTGGTCATTTAGAGAGAATGGATCAAAGTAGAATGACATGGAAAGGGATATAAATCTATAGGGGAAGGAAAGAGGGGTAGGGGTCGTCCTCGAAAGGATTGGAAAGAGGGGGTAAAGGAGGTTTTGTGGCGAGGGGCTTGGACTTCCAGCAAGCGTGCATGAGTGTTAGATAGGAGTGAATGGAAAACGAATGATACTTGGGACCTGACTCTTTTTTGGAGTGTGAGCAGGGTAATATTTAGTGAAGGGATTTAGGGAAACCGGTTATTTTCATATAATCGGACTTGAGTCCTGGAAATGAGAAGTACAATGCCTGCACTTTTAAAAGGGGGGGTTTGGGATATTTGGCAGTTTGGAGGGATATGTTGTGTATCTTTATACGTATATGCTTCTAAACTGTTGTATTCTGAGCACCTCTGCAAAAGCAGTGATAATGTGTGAGTGTGGTGAAAGTGTTGAATGATGATGAAAGTTTTTCTTTTTGGGGATTTTCTTTCTGTTTTGGGTCACCCTTGCCTCGGTGGGAGACGACCGACTTGTTGAAAAAAAAAAAGAAAGTATGACAGGGTGGATAGGGGGGCAATGTGGCAGATGTTGCAGGTGTATGGTATAGGAGATAGGTTACTGAAAGCAGTGAAGAGTTTTTAACGAGGATAGTGAGGCTGAAGTTAGAGTATGTAGGAAAGAGGGAAATTATTTCCCAGTAAAAGTAGGCCTTAGACAAGGATGTGTGATGTCACCATGGTTTGTTTAATATATTTATAGATGGGGTTGTAAGAGAAGTAAATGCGAGGGTCTTGGCAAGAGGTTGTGGAGTTAAAAGATAAAGACACACATAAAGTGGGAGTTGTCACAGTTGCTCTTTGCTGACAAAAACTGTGCTCTTGGGAGATTCTGAAGAGAAGCTGCAGAGATTGGTGGATGAATTTGGTAGGGTATGCAAAAGAAGAAAATTAAAAGTGAATACAGGAAAGAGTAAGGTTATGAGGTAACAAAAAGATTAGGTGATGAAAGATTGGATATCAATTGGAGGGAGAGAGTATGGAGAAGGTGAATGTATTCAGATAAATTTGGGGAGTGGACGTGTCAGCGGATGGGTCTATGAAAAAAGGGGAATCATAGAATTGATGAGGGGAAAAGGGTGAGTGGTGCACTTAAGAGTTGTGGAGACAAAGAACTTTGTCCTTGGAGGCAAAGAGGGGAATTATGAAAGTATAGTTTTAAACCCAAAGCTCTTATATGGTGTGAAGCATGGGTATGAATATTGCAGCGAGGAGAAGGCTGGAGGCATTGGGGATGTCATGTCTGAGGGCAATGTGTGGTGTGAATATAATGCAGAGAATTCTTTAGTTTGGAAGTTAGGAGGAGGTGCGGGATTACCAAAACTGTTTTTCCAGAGGGCTAAAGGAAGGGTTGTTGAGGTGGTTTGGACTGTAGAGAGATGGAGCAGAACAGAATGACTTCAAGAGTGTATCAGTCTGTAGTGGAAGGAAGACGGGGTAGGGGTCGGCCTAGGAAAGGTTGGAGGGAGGGGGTAAAGGAGGTTTTGTGTGCGAGGGGCTTGGACTTCCAGCAGGCATGAGTGAGCGTGTTTGATAGGAGTGAATGGAGACAAATGGTTTTTAATACTTGACGTGCTGTTGGAGTGTGAGCAAAGTAACATTTATGAAGGGGCTCAGGGAAACCGGCAGGCCGGAGTTGGGTCCTGGAGATGGGAAGTACAGTGCCTGCACTCTGAAGGAGGGGTGTTAATGTTGCAGGTTAAAAACTGTAGTGCAAAGCACCCTTCTGGCAAGACAGTGATGGAGTGAATGATGGTGAAAGTTTTTGCTTTTTCGGGCCACCCTGCCTTGGTGGGAATCGGCCAGTGTGATAATAATAATAAAAAAAAAAAATGAGGAGTAAAGATGGCTCGTGGCTCAGCATTGCACCTTCAGCTTGCAACCATCATGGAAATGTGCACATTTCCTTAAACCCATTTGCTTAGCAGTAAATAGAAATCCATGTGTTAGCCAGATGTAGATGGCATCCTGGGGAAATGGTAGTATTCCTTAGGTAGGGCTGGGGTTTTAAATGAGTTGAGGTAGGATAGCATCTCTTTATCAGTAATTTAAATGGGTGTAAAATGATGTGGTGTAATTGTTCATTCATGAAATGGGTGGGATTCCAAACCATGGGAAGCCAGTTCCAAAACTAGCAGGCTCTTAACTGCTGTATCAGTTTGATATAATAAAAAATTTCAACTAGGCATGTTTTTGTATATAGTACTAAGAAAGTTAGCATAAATCTTTGATTACTGTATTTAGAAACCATGCAGCAGGCTGTGTTAACCAAGATGTATAAATATGGTATGGATGGGTGGTAGTGTAGGGAATGATTCATGAATGGCAAGGGGCTTTTGGACTAGTCCAGGCTTGAGTATGCAGCAGGCATGTGTGATGATGTTAGATCAGAGTAGTAGAGACAAGTATTTTTCTGGAATTTGATATGCTTTTAGTGTGAAAGTACAAGCAAAGTAACATGATGGGATTTGAGGAAACTGGTTAGCCAGAAGTACAGTGCCTACAGTTTGAAGGATAAGAGAGGATGGTGCATTTTAGTAGATTGTAACATATGTATCAGTTACAGTATTCAAAACTATATTCCCATGTGCTTTTAGCCCCCCTCTCATTTAAACTCATAAATCTCTGCTGTTTTATTAACTTTTAATTTGCCTAATGCACCATAGCATGGCAGCTCAGTCAGGTTGTGGTGGCTTTATGGGTCACCAGCAACAATATACTGGTTAACTAGGAAGCAAGGAAATTTGGTCTCTCTTGGGTAGTGAGGGTAGAGGAACTCTTGAAACCAGTCACAGTTAACATACTGTATTACTCTTTGCCCCATGCATGAGCTCTCGATCTTTTTTTTTCATCTCCCACCTCACCCCTCCTTTAGAGTGTAGGAATTGCCCTATCCACCTCTTAGACTCGAATCCAGCTAACTGGTTTCCCCTGAATCTTCTTAAAAATATTATCTTATTCACACTAACATCACAGTAAGCATTTAAAATTGCTGCTTCTTCTTTCAACAAACCGGCCGTATCCCACTGAGGCAAGGTGACCCAAAAAGAAAAACAAAAATTTCTTTTTTTTTTTTTTACTTTAGTAATGTATACAGGAAAAGGTTACTAGTCCCTTGCTCCTGGCATTTTAGTTGCCTCTTACGACACACATGGCTTACAGAGGAAGAATTCTGTTCCACTTCCCCATGGAGATAAGAGGAAATAAACAAGAACAAGAACTAGTAAGAAAATAGAAGAAAACCCAGAGGAGTGTGTATATATATGCTTGTACATGCATGTTTAGTGTGACCTAAGTGTAAGAGGTAGCAGTAGCAAGACGTACCTGAAATCTTGCATGTGTATGAGACAGAAAAAAGACACCAGCAATCCTATCATCATGTAAAACAATTACAGGCTTTTGTTTCACACTCACTTGGCAGAACGGTGGTTCCTCCATAGGCGATTGCTGTCTACCAACCTACTAGTACCTAGAACTTTTGGCATATATGTACACAAATCCACGTGTGTCGTAAGAAGCAACTAAAATGCTTGGAGCATGGGCCTAGTAACCCCCTTCTGTATAAATTCCTAAATGTAAAAAGAGAAAACCTTTGTTTCTTCTTTTTCGGGCCACCCTGCCTAGGTGGGAGATGGTTGGTGTGTTAAAAAAAAAAAAAGTTATAGTCATATGTTTTTAACATATGAGCTTGTGTTATGTCACATAGTTAGCTTTTTTCAATCATTGGTAAGCCTTCTAGTTTTAACCTAAAGACTTATCTGACTTTATACTGTAGTCATTATCAATCTTAATAATGACTTTACATTACTTTTGATTTTACTTCACAGCTTCACATTTATAATCTATATTGTTTGTATGTTTATTAATATGCAATTATGTTTTAGTTTTATTTCATACCAAAATTCTGTACATTTTATAATATTTTTCATCAGCATTATATATACATGTATTAGTAATTCATGCAGGTAACTGGATCTAATAATGTTTTGTTTAGTAATAAAGAAATTATCATTGATAAATAGTTGGACACAGTGATATGATGAAGTACATTTGGAAATTACTAATGAAAACCCTATTCTCAAGCTGTATTTTGTCTATAATAAGTGGAGTATCTGTGAGCAATTCTGTATTGTGTGTCCATACTTGGCATATGGAAACAGATTTTGTATATGTGTAGTGAATTGCATATCAAAAAATATTTTAATTCAATGATTTTTTCCATAGTAACTATGAAAAGAGTGCGGCTGGAAGACGATGACGATGCGAGTTCAGTGTATGGTAGTAGCCTCCACTCTTCTCCCTCAGCCAGTCCAGCTCCCATTGATCGCACTGCCCATAAAAGACATTCTACAAGCTCCAACCAGAAAAATAAACAGGTGTTGATTATTCTCTTGATGTTATTTTCCTTATCTTAAGTAACAAGTGCACTCAACCCATCTATGAATGCAAGCATTAAATATATTTGTGTTATAATGTTTTGAATGAATGAAGTAAGTTCTGAGGCATTGAGTATTGATGTTTTACTTTTCGGATATGCAAAAGACTTCATGGAACTAGGAGTTGGTTAGCTGAGAATTTTCTGTCCATGCTTTTTATACTGCCTTAAATTATTTACACTTCGTGCTTCACAATGCTTTAAGAGCGGAATAGATTGCATTATAGAAATAATAATTATTTTTATTACAGGTCTCTGATATTCTGCTTTATCGGGGTGAATGTTCTCTTGCAATGTATATATTGCATACATTAGTATCTTGCCCTATCATTAACCTGCCCTAATATTAAATTGTGGAAATGGTCATAAACAAATGTCCGAGTAGTTTACTTGTAGACAGTTCCGGGCGTCACCGCTCCTGCGGCATGATCCCAGACCAGGCATATTTTGAGATACTTCTTTCTTTGAAGTACAGTAAAAATATGATATAAGATAAAGTAGGAATATCTAGAGGATGTACGGTATTCCTGTTGTAAACGTTTATTGCTTATGCAAATTAGAAAAGTCCAAATGAAATATAATTTAATGAAGTTAGACTATAAGAATGTGTGATAAAAGAACGTGCTTATGAAATGAGTTATTCTCTCAGCCAAATTTTTTTTTATTTCACAAGGTGGTGGTACACTAGCAGACACACACATAATGGTATGCTGTACTATAACTTGTGCTACTATTCAGATAAGGTGACAAGGAAGACTTTTTGACCTATGGTACTATCTCTTTGAAAAGCATTGAAATTTCTGGAAGTGGCCATTAGAGAAATGTTGATAAAACACTTATAAAGCAAAATCATGCTAATTGGCAAACAACTTGGTGAAGCAACTACATCACTGGTTGGCTGAGGTCCACCATCATTTGTATATCATATCTCTGAATTCTCATCACAACTCAAAACTGAATTTCTTTATGTGGGTAAATTCTAACTCAAAATTATCATAACTCAAGCTCAACATAAGTCAAGGGACTATTGTATTTGCACATGGTGCAAAAATCTAATGCAAAATAGTAAATAAAAATGTATATTCCTGCAGGAGAACCTGGACACACACAGCAAGTGGAGTGATAGATGGATGATGGAGTTTAATGTGCATAAATGCAATATTATAGAAATAAGAAGAGGAAATGACAAAAATGAAACATACCACAAATATTGTAAGGTACCATAAAATATAGACATGAGAGATAGATTGGGTCATAGGAGTCCTCAGTGACCAAAGTATATCACCAGAAGAATCTTGTTAATGAAATAGTGAAAAACTCTTGTGTGACACTGGCCCACTTCAAAATTGTGGTTAGATATATTGATGGGGAAATGTTTCAAAAGCTGTTGGCAACATGTATACCTTCGACCAAAATTGGAATATGCAGCCATCATATGGTGTCCATGCTTTCAAAAAAAAAAAAAATAGATGAGTTAGAAAAAGTCCTAATATGCTACAAAACGACTCGAGAGCTAAAAAAAAAAAATGAAATAAAAATTTAAATGGGTCTGAAAACAGACATAATGAAGAAGAGAGGTGGTGGTGGGTGGAGGGGACCTGATAATGATATGTAGTCTGACATCTAAAGTTTGGCTTGATCGGGGTGGGAGTTATTCTGAATTTGTGGTGAATAGGATTGAGGTTCATGCTAGGCTGTGGGGGTAGATAATCCCTCCAAACTGATCGCAAGTTTGTTACAGATAAGGAAATTCTGTGAAAAATAAGAGATTTAGATATACAGTGGAGCCTCAAAAATCAAACTTAATCCGTTCCAGGAGCTAGTTCTAAATTCGAAAAGGCTGAAATTCGAAGCAATATTTCCCATAAGAAATAATGGAAATACAATTAATCCATTCCGGAAACCCAAAAATATTCACACAAAAAATACATTTTATAGAGATTAATTACAGTTTTACATACAACAAATACTATAGTTTTTAATTATGTATAGTAATACATATAAAATAACATTTTTACTTACCTTTATTGAAGATTGGTGATGGCATCTGGAAGATAGGGAGGAGGAGAGAGGGAGTTGGGGTTAGTGTTTGGAAGGAGAATCTCCCTCCATGAGGACTTCAGGTAAAGCCCTCTCTGGGGTTACTTCCCTTCTCTGTCTTTTAATGCCACTAGGACCAGCTTGAGAGTCACTGGACTCCTGTCTCACAAAATAACTGTCCACAGTCCTCTGTTTCTGGCACCTCTTTAACATTTCCCTAAAATGGGACATGGTTCTGTCACTGAACTTGTTGCAAAGATGGCTTGTTTCAGCTTGCTCAGGGTGGTACTTCTGCACAAACATTTGGACATCATTCCACTTGGCACAAATCTCCTTAATCTTTGAAGAAGGCACCTCATCCACTCCCTATATTAACACCTTTCGCAACATCAGCTTCCTTGATTTGTTCTTTCTTTGACAGGATAGAACCGATGGTCGACTTGTTTTTCCCATACATCCTGGCAAGCTCAACAAGTCTCACACCACTCTCATTCTTCTGTATTATTTCCTTCTTCACATCTATGGTGTTTCTCACTTTCTTTACCACAGGGGTACCACTAGCAAGTTTCTTTGGGCCCATGGCAGCTTATTTCACAGTCCCACAAGCACTAAACACAACGAAGTAATCGTAAAATGCGTGAATGAGAGCGCAGGTTAGTGTTCACTCAAGCATAAACAAAGCTAGACTGCTCACGGCACCTGCACGGGGATGTGGACAGAGCTGGCGGCAGACAGGTCCCGTACCCGCCCGTCTGAAAATAGGGGCGCGTTCGATAATAGGGACACAGTTTGTCCGAAAAAATGGTCCTATTTTCGAAATGTTCTGTATGTGATACATTCGATTTTTGAGGTTCCACTGTACTGATATACTTTTTATCAAACTTTTAATTATGCGTTATTATGCACTAATGTATGTGCAAGCAAGGCTTATGGCTATAAATATTTCCTTGATTATACCTGGCAATCACAGGTAAACAAAGAAGATACAAGGATGAATCCCAAGTAAAAGGTGACATTTATATCTTGTCTTAATTATTGCTCACTGGGGCAGCAGCTAACTCATATCCCCAACTCTGGTGGTAGTATTTTTTCCCCTCAGTATATCAGCCATCTCCCACCTAGGGTGAACCATTAAAAAGGAAACAGTCTTCTCATTCATTGAATAGCTGTGTTGCTAGTAGTGTGCATACATCACAGTTCCAATGATCCTCCAAACTGTAACATCCCTATGCTTTGGGAGTGTAAGCTATGCACTTCTCACCTCCTGGACTAGTCTGACTAATCAGTTTTCCCTGGATTCCTACATGAGTATTATTTTGCTCATATGCCAGCAGTATGTCAACTCCCAAAAACTTTGTTTCCAACCCCCTAGCACTGAAAAACTTTCACACCCTCCCTCCAACCTTTCCTGCTACTTTCCACCCTGCATTTATACACCTTCTTGGTTATCCTCCACTGCTTCATCCTCTCCAAAAGCCCAAACCACCTGAACAACCCCTCCTCTGCCCTTAGAATAATACCTTTCATAACCTCAATGTCTTCTAGTTTTATTCTCTGCACTCTTAACATAATGTTCACATCTGGAGTTTACCTGGAGAGAGTTCCGGGGGTCAATGCCCCAGCGGCCTGGTCTGTGACCAGGCCTCCTGGTGGATCAGATCCTGATCAACCAGGCTGTTACTGCTGGCTGCACGCAAACCAACGTACGAGCCACAGCCCAGCTGGTCAGGAACCGACTTTAGGTGCTTGTCCAGTGCCAGCTTGAAGACTGCCAGGGGTCTGTTGGTAATCCCCCTTATGTATGCTGGGAGGCAGTTGAACAGTCTCGGGCCCCTGACACTTATTGTATGGTCTCTTAACGTGCTAGTGACACCCCTGCTTTTCATTGGGGGGATGTTGCATCGTCTGCCAAGTCTTTTGCTTTCGTAGTGAGTGATTTTCGTGTGCAAGTTCGGTACTAGTCCCTCTAGGATTTTCCAGGTGTATATAATCATGCATCTCTCCCGCCTGCATTCCAGGGAATACAGGTTCAGGAACCTCAAGCACTCCCAGTAATTTAGGTGTTTTATCTCCGTTATGCTCGCCGTGAAGGTTCTCTGTACATTTTCTAGGTCAGCAATTTCACCTGCCTTGAAAGGTGCTGTTAGTGTGCAGCAATATTCCAGCCTAAATAAAACAAGTGACCTGAAGAGTGTCATCATGGGCTTGGCATCCCTAGTTTTGAAGGTTCTCATTATCCATCCTGTCATTTTTCTAGCAGATGCGATTGATACAATGTTATGGTCCTTGAAGGTGAGATCCTCCGACATGATCACTCCCAGGTCTTTGATGTTGGTGTTTCGCTCTATTTTGTGGCCAGAATTTGTTTTGTACTCTGATGAAGATTTAATTTCCTCGTGTTTACCATATGTGAGTAATTGATATTTCTCATCGTTGAACTTCATATTGTTTTCTGCGGCCCACTGAAAGATTTGGTTGATGTCCGCCTGGAGCCTTGCAGTGTCTACAATGGAAGACACTGTCATGCAGACTCGGGTGTCATCTGCAAAGGAAGACATGGTGCTGTGGCTGACATCCTTGTCTATATCAGATATGAGGATGAGGAACAAGATGGGAGCGAGTACTGTGCCTTGTGGAACAGAGCTTTTCACCGTAGCTGCCTCCGACTTTACTCTGTTGACGACTACTCTCTGTGTTCTGTTAGTGAGGAAATTATAGATCCATCGACCGACTTTTCCTGTTATTACTTTAGCACGCATTTTGTGCGCTATTACGCCATGGTCACACTTGTTGAAGGTTTTTGCAAAGTCTGTATATATTACATCTGCATCCTTTTTGTCTTCTAGTGCATCTAGGACCTTGTCGTAGTGATCCAATAGTTGAGACAGACAGGAGCGACCT